AAACACTCAAGACGGCAAGGGGTTTCCCCAATACATAAAGGGGTGACCCTACAGATTTAAACAAATAAGGCCAATACAAACTTACCATTGATCCAAAATCTTGAAAACTCGTGCAAGGGGACTAATTCATTTATAACGTCACAAAAAAAAACTCAACCCCCGCCAATTTGGATTCAGGAAAAATAAAAGCACAAAAGTGCAATTTAAAAAATTTTTTAAATCTGCTTTACACAGCATTTGGGAAAATAAGGAATACCACAGGAAAATTTTTATTCCCAAAAACTTTTTACAGGTAGACCCCGGGCCCCCACTCCACAAAGACCCTTTATGGAAAGAGGCCCGCACCCTTAATTTCAAACTTCCTTTTAATAGGATCATATGTCACCATTAAAGAACACATCAACAACACAGCCCCTTGATACGGAGTTCCGCAGGGGAAGGGCCCTTTGGGCCCCCGCTTTCCTCATATACATCAATGATTTCCAACGATCTCGACACCTGAACCCCATTCCTTTCTGACGACCGATTATGTCATCTCTCCCCCTAATCTTTCAAAACCCCCAACACCCTGTTAATGAGGGCGATCAAAATATCGTTGGAAAAACACCAAAACTTACGCTTAACGTTGACAAAACCTACTAATTATTTTGGGGAGCAGAGCAAGAGCGCAAATTTACATTAAAACGACAAACTCCTAATTACAGGGATAATGAGGGAAATTCCTAGGCCTTACCTCGACAACAAACCCGAATTTAGCCCCCTATCCAACACATAACCAAAAAGTATCCCCAAAAGGGTTTGGGTCCTCTCCAAGATCGATACTAAAGTGCCGCAAACTGCCCTTTTCCCCACTATCCACCACTTAAATCCCTACCCCACTATGCTATCGGCTTGGGGTCAAAGCAGCATCACACCTAAAGCCAAAAATAACCCCAAAAAAAGCCGCAGTAAAATAAACATAAATCCCCCCCTGGGAACACCCCCCCCCACTCTTTATAGTTAAATTACTCCCTGTTCATACATCCACATTACTACTGGCAATTAACTACAGGCCCCTTTAAATTCCAATTTAACCTTGACCTAAAATGCTTTCTTGATATTGGACAGAACCCCCAGGACAACACCCAAACAAACATCCCCTTATGAATTCCCCTTCCGACTAAACCTTTTTCAAAAATTCAATGTATGTCAAAGGCCCCAAAAGGAACAAACCCCACCTGAAAATTCCAAAACTGCAGACCTTCATACCTTCAAAAAATACCATCGAAAACATTTATCTCCCGAACACCCGTCAACAATAAAAAGAAAACCACCTGGTGGTTACAAATTACACTCACTACCTTTGACCCTAAACAGAAATTCAATTTCCCACTCTCAAAATAATGAAACTTAACTTCAAAAGTTGGGTGAACTCCAATACGAAAATATGTTAGTGCCAAAACAAAACATTCCATTGCTAAACTCCAACTTTTTTAGTCACTAGCCATAAACCAAAATTATCCTAATTCTGTAACATTTTTAAAAAAAAGATTTAATATAAGCGCCAAAGCCTACCCTGCTAGGTGTTCTAATGGGACACTCGTAAACCCCACAATAACCCCAAAAACTGTAAATAGCATTGTAAACTTATAGAGAATAAAGTTTAATTGAAATTTAATACGAAAAAACCTGAAAATTGTGTTTTAAACCCCTTTTAGGGTCCATTCCGAGACTACGGGTTTACTTTGGGGCCAAACCGGGAAAACTACGCCAAAATTTTTTAGCGGGTCAAATTTATGCAAGAAGGGTGGTAGGGCCCACTCTGAAAAAATGGGCGTGGGGGGCAGGTGCACACTATGAAAAAATCTGGCCTTTCATGGGATTTGGGAAGGCGCCAAAGTAGCTTTGTTCATCATGCCTGGCGGCAAGGAAGCTCTCACTCCCCACTCACTCTCCTGGCGAATTCTGATTCTTCGCTTCACAACTTACAGTTCTAAGACTGATGGAAGGGGATCTGAAGAGGAATTCTATGGTTTTGAGCCATATGGTACTATTGTACCATATGGTACAATGTACCATATAGTACATTGTACCATATGGTACATTATACCATATGGTACAGGGTACAGGGACCCTAATGGAAATAAGTCCGTCTGACTTTTTTTGGTTATCCTAGGTTCTCCAAACATATGCTGCTATGTATGATAATCTTTGTAACTTTATTTGTGTATACCTAAATACACTTACGATGCCACATGTGCTTGAATAAGTTAATTCAGGTGTACACAAATACAGTTACCTAGATTATCATACATTGCAGCATATGTATAAAATCCTAGGATAACCCAGAAAAGTCAGGTTGAATTATTTCCATAGGGATCCTTGTATCTGTACCATATGGTACCCTGCACCATATGATACCCTGCACCATATAGTACCCTGCACCATATGGTACCCTGCACCATATGGTATCCTGCACCATATGGTATCCTGTACCATATGGTACCCTATACCATATAGTGCAATGTACCATATGGTACCCTGTAACATATGATACCATGTACCATATGGTCAGTAGGTGTTGATGCCACCAGCCACCAGCTAGCTAGCGACTGTGCAGTTTCCAAGACAAAGCTCTTTGTCATCCACCTCAAGTAACATGTCGAGCGGCTGTACATTTGTAAATATATAATAGAACATTACTAATATACAACATTTTTGCATATTTTTGTTGTAAACAATTATTGTAAACGAAATAATGACGAAAATATTAGTGTGTTCATTGTGTTGAATACAACAGTACCATAAAGTACCATATGGTACAATGTACCATATGGTACAATGAACCATATGGTATCATAGTAACATATGGTACTATGTACCATATGGTACATTGCACCATATGGTACCATAAGGTACCACTGCACCATATGGTACCATTGTATCATATAGTACCACTGTACCAAATGGTGCCATTGTACCATATACTACCATATGGTAGCATTGTATATGGTGCCATTGTACCATATTGTACCATATGGTACCACTGTACCATATGGTATCACTGCACCCTATGGCACCACTGTACCATGTGGTACTATATGGTACCGTTGTATTCAACACAATAACCGCACTAATATTTTCATCCTTTTGTTTAAAATAAACTTGTAAACAAGTTTTGTAAGCAATATAATGATAAACAAATTAGTGCAGGTATTGTGTTGAATACAATGATTGTACACTTATACAATATACATTATACTGGTCTCACAGGCCACAAATGTTACTAGAAAAAGAAAAAAATTAGAAAAGAAAAGAAAAAAGTATAAAAAAACATAAAATAAAAAAAATGCAATTTTGCGGAAGCTGCTGATGTTGCCGCCACCCGGTCATTTTGGGTCAACTTCCCACTGCTGTATCTCAGTAAGTACTGATCAGTAAATTTTTTTTTGGTTTTATTACCTTCACAAAAATATTATCTTTAATTCTGTAAGAAAAACTATTTTTCTTTTTTTTTTTTTTTCAAAATTTCTTGGACACTGGTGCACCCCTTCAGATTTTGGTCTTGGACCCTGAAAAGGTTAAACCAAAAACATGGTAGCAGTTTTTTTTTCCATTATTCACTGCATGCTCCAGGATTTCTTTTATATGGTGCACACTTACCACAGAGACCCAATCTCTCATATTTAGGCCCAAATTTACCACTCACAACTTATCTGGAAGAGCTGAGTTCATCATGTAGAACAACAGAACCAATCTGGGCATCAAAGCTGTAGTACAACAGGACCCATCACAAAAGGGTTAATAGTTAACTTGAAGACGAATTAGACACATGTACAACACCTGGGTATCTTTTAACACTTTGACTGTCGCAACCCCAAATCCTGACGTGTCTCCTGGTGTCGAAAATTTTTTGAAAAAAAAAAAAAAAAAAAAAAAAAAAAAAAAAAAAAAAAAAAAAAAAAAAAAAATATTTTTTCTTATGAAAGGATAGGGAATCTTTTCCCTATGGTAATGACACTGAAAGAACAAAATTTGATGGAAAACTGATGGAATTACGCTCTCGTGAAGTTAGCGACCTCGGCAATATTTACAAATAGGCGATTTCGCCCACTTTGAGCCCTATTTTCGGCTAATTCCATTTTTCCAGTCAACCAAACTCATAGCTACTTCTTTAGAATTCCATTTGTTCTATCGATTGAGTACAAGAAACTGCCCATTTACCAATTTCAACTACCCAATAACGTGGTCAGAAATTTGCAATTTGGCCAATTTCACGCAAATTAAAAAATATGCCAATTTCAAAATAGGGTCCAAAATGAACAATGCAGACATTCCTGGCTCTAAAATAACATTTTCTTTGTTCATCAGTCATGTCTCCAGGCCACTCTGATATTACTCTTGCTTTCTATTTTGAATTTTTATTCAAACAAAAAATAGAAGATTCATTGTTATGCAGACTACTGCAATATTGTAATAATTGCATAAATAATGTCAACCCATTCATGACTGCATATTAGAATGACTAGTTGGACATTCATCGGACACTGACATCATTTGTTTACTTTTGAGCATCAGCAAAAATCAAACATTTCCACTAATTTGAGCTCCATTTCAAGGTTCTTTTCACAGTAAAACTAATCAAAATCACCTCTATTTCTATAATATCTTTTCCATTCTATCAAATGAGACCAGGAAAACAAGAATACAACCATAAATACTATACAAAAATACACTGCAAAGTTGGCATTTTAATCTAAAAACTTTTTTTTCTCACTGCACTGCGTGCTGCAGGATTTTTTTTATATGGTGCACACTGACCACACAGACCCATTCTCTCACATGTGAGCCTACCAGCTTTCTCCTGCTTGATTTGAAGCCGCTAGAATTTTTGAGTATATATACGTCAAACACGGTGGCTCATAAGAGTCAAAGAGTTAAGATACCCAGATGTTGCATGTATCTAATTCTTCGTCTTGTCGGTATTGTATACCATACATTCACAAAAGTTAACTTCATACCTTCAGTGCTTGTTCAAGAGTAGTTGACTTGTTGGTAAACAGTTCCAGTAGCAGGTTCTTCCAGAGCCCTGAGGATACTTCTTGCTGTGTCTCTAGTGTGAGGACGGCAACTGTAAACCATGGGAACTGTGGGGCAGAAGCACGCACAAGCAGGGAATTTGGTGCTGTAGTCCCAGCAGTTAGCCAAGACAACAAGCCTATCACACCTCCCCCAGCGCTATGCTGATACTCAGAGTTCTGAAATACATATTTTTAATTAGTAGTCCTATCACTGAGAACATTTTGAAAATGTCACATGGAGTGATGAACAAATAAATAGCAAACTAATTTCTGAAAAGAGATCTAGAATAACTACTTTCTATAAAAAATTTTTTCTCTTATTACATTTAGTACTTTATACAGGAGAAGGGCTTACTAGTCCCTTGCTCCCAGCATTTTAGTCACCTCTTACAACACGCATGATTTAAGGAGGAAGTATTCTTAACGCAGTAATATTACTGCATGCATCACTAAGTGCCAGTGTGTCATGCGAAGGTAGGATGACCAAAAAAAAAGAAACACTTTTGCCACCAATGTCTTGCCAGAGGGGTACTGATACTATAGTTCAAAACTGTGGGTCATACAACAATGCTTTCATCCGATCAGAAGAGTAAAAAAAACATGAAATAAAATAGTTACTTTCATGACGTCTGAGAATGCTCTCAAAACTTCTTGCCAGCAAGGAGAGTGAGTAAAGGCTTGGTGACAGATGGTGTCCTGTAAGAAGAGCACTGCATTGTCATGAACCCACTCTGGCACACACACAAGAAGCTGCAGCCAAAACTTAACTGCCAGAGCACCAGATGTGAGATTGTACCTGGGAATGTAATGTCAATTTAACACTATTAAAATCTATTTAACCAGAGTAAGAATCATATAAGAACACTTTTTTATTGCATATTTTGACATTAAGAGTGATTTAACCCTTTCACTGTCGGTCCCGTAATATTACGGCTTTGAAGCCAGTGTCGGACTCATAATACTATTCAAAAATTTTAGCGGCTTCCAATCTTGCAGGAGAAAGATGGTAGGCCTACATATTAAAGAATGGGTCTGAGTGGTCAGTGTGCGCAGTATAAAAAAAATTCCTGCAGCACGCAATGCACGAGAAAAAAAAAACGAGATCAAGTTTTTGGTTTAAAACATTCATTTTATGGTGTATTTTCGTATGGTATTTACGGATACATTCTTGTTTTCTTGGTCTCATTTGATAGAATGGGAGATACATTACAGAAACAGAGATGATTTGAATGGTTTACAGACCAAAAGTACCTTGAAAGTGAGCTCAAAGAAACGGAAATGTTCGATTTTTGATGATGTTCAACAGTAAACAAATCATGTCACGCATCCAATACGCATCAACTGGTGGGTCTAATGTGCTTTCATAAATGTGCTGACATTATTCATACCATTTTTTACGATAATGCAGTAGTTTGCATAACAGTAAATCTTCTATTTTTTTTGTGTGAATATAAATTCAAAATGGAAAGCAAGTGCAATATGAGAGGAGCCTGGAGACATGACTAATGAACAGAGAAAGTGTTATTTTAGTGCCAGGAATGTTTGCATTGTTTATTCTGGACCCTATTTTGAAACTGGCCTTTCTTGAATTTTGTATGAAATTGGCCAAATTACCAATTTCTGATCACTTTATTGGGTAGTTGAAATAGGTAAATGGGTAGTTTCTTGCACTCAATCAATAGAACAAAAGGAGTGCTAGTGAAATAGCTATGAATATAGCCAACTGGAAGAATGGAAATGGCCCAAAATAGGGCTCAAAGTAGGCAAAATCACCGATGCGTAAATATCTGAGACCACTAACTTTAGGAGAGCATAATTCCATAAGTCTTCCATCAAATTTTGTATCTTTGGTTTCATTATCATCAGGAAAACATTAGCTATCATTTCATAATTTTTTTTTTTTTTTTTTAAATTCTTCAACATCGAGAGCAAGTTTGCGAGCAGGGATCTCGAAGTGAAAGGGTTTTAAAGACTTCTCCAAGTACCTTTTCTTATTATCACTATCGTGCAATGAAGAATAAAGCTCAGAATATTGTGACCAGAACAATTCACAGCTAACCTACAATTCAGAGAAGAAACACTAGATACTGTTTCAAAATGTCTAAGACAGATCAAAACATTATATACAAGTTTCCTCTAAGGACTGTGAGTGTTTCAAATTGTAGCTCAAAATAAAAGATGCCACAAATTCTTCAGATGGAAATTACTAGAATAAGGCATTCCAAGAAAAATTATAGCATTTGTTCTTTATGTACAAAGACATCCCAAAATTTTTCATGGCTTATTCAGTAATACATACAAACAAAAATAATGGAAGCATACCTAGTGTAGTTACATATGTGATATACTATCATGGCAGCAAATGAACTGAGAATCTTGCCAGGGAAGGTGGAGGCAACAAGACTCTTTGCCATAGTAATGTATGTCTGGTCTGCTGTCAAACACTTCTGTATGGCAAACATTAACCTGGACAAAATAAACTGATATTAGTCAGAAGTTTAAAGATCAGAAAAATGGCACTACACAGTTGAACACTGTAATCTAATGTGAAATCTGAAGTTATGGATTTCACATGCTCGATTTATTTTAAGGTCTTTTTGCTATATCTTTTTAAATACTGCTAAAATCTGCTTAACACTTACATGCATCAGGACAAATGAGAATATGTTTTATGAAACCTAAATATTAGTTGTCAATTTAGAGACAGTGTGCCAAGCAAAAAACTGACAAAGGGAACCAAGAAAAAAATGTGAATAATCAAGGTTAACTACGACGTGACTTTCATTAAAAACACTGAACTAATCGAATCACTTGAATTACAAAGCTGTCTGTCTGGCGCTCAGCAGACGGAGGATCGAGCCTCTATTACGTCTTGCGCTGAATGACCCACATGGGTCTAGCGCTTAACATGAATTAAATAATAAATAAATCTGGGGATCAAGTGCATACTGTATTACACAAGCATATTCTAAACAGAAAGAGGCCTAATATGCTGAATTTCCAGTGAATATTAATCAGGAATGGAATATGAAAGGAAGAAAAATATAGACATTGTTTTTTTTTATTAACACATGGGCCGATTCTCACCAAGGCAGGGTGGCCCGAAAAAGAAAAGCTTTTATCATCATTCACTCCATCACTGTCTTCCCAGAGGGGTGCTTTACACTACAGTTATAAAACTGCAACATTCAGAGTGCAGACACTGTACTTCCCATCTCCAGGACTCACGTCTGGCCTGCTGGTTTCCCTGAATCCCTTCATAAATGTTACTTTGCTTACACTCCAACAGCACATCAAATATTAAAAATCATTTGTCTCCATTCACTCCTATCAAATATGCTCACACATGCTTGCACACAAAACCTCCTCGTAAAAACTCTTCAGTGCTTTCAGTAACCTACCTCCTATACCATACACTTACAACATCTGACACATTGCTCTCCTATCCACCCTGTCATATGCCTTTTCCAAATCCATAAATGCCACAAAAACCACTTTACCCTTATCTAAATACTGTTCACCTATATGTTTCACTGTAAACACTTGGTCTACACACCCCCTACCCTTCCTAAAGCCTCCTTGTTCATCTGCTATCCTACTCTCCGTCTTACTCTTAATTTTTTCAATAGTAACACTACCATACACTTTACCAGGTATACTTAACAGACTTATTCCCCTATAATTTTTGCACTCTCTTTTATCCCCTTTGCCTTTATATAAAGGAACTATGCATGCTCTCTGCCAATCCCCTAGGTACCTTACCCACTTCCATATATTCATTAAATAATAGCACCAACCACTCCAAAACTATATCCCCACCTGCTTTTAACATTTCTATCTTTATCCCATCAATCCCAGCTGCCTTACCCCCTTTCATTCTACCCACTGCCTCAAGAACTTCCCCCACACTCACAACTGGCTCTTCCTCATTCCTACAAGACGTTATTCCTCCTTGCCCTATACACGAAATCACAGCTTCCCTATCTTCATCAACATTTAACAATTCCTCAAAATATTCCCTCCATCTTCTCGATACCTCCAACTCTCCATTTAATAATTCTCCTCTCTTATTTTTAATTGTCAAATCGATTTGTTCCCTAGGCTTCCTCAACTTATTAATCTCACTCCAAAACTTTTTCTTATTTTCAACAAAATTTGTTGATAACATCTCACCCACTCTCTCATTTGCTCTCTTTTTGCATTGCTTCCATAAATGCAATAAAAACTTCCCTACCTTTATCTAAATACTGTTCACATATATGCTTCAATGTAAACACTTGATCTACACATCCCTACCCACTCTGAAACCTCCTTGCTCATCCGCAATCCTACATTCTGTCTTACCTCTAATTCTTTCAATTATAACCCTACTGTACAGTTTTCCTGGTATACTCAGTAAACTTATTCCTCTATAATTTTTACAGTCTCTTTTGTCCCCTTTCCCTTTATATAAAGGGACTATACATGCTCTCTGCCAATCCCTAGGTACCTTCCCCTCTTTCATACAATTATTAAACAAAAGTACCAACCACTCCAACACTATATCCCCCCCTGCTTTTAACATTTCTGTCATGATCCCATCAGTTCCAGCTGCTTTTACCCCCTTTCATTCTACATAATGCCTCACGTACCTCCCCCACACTTACATTCTGCTCTTCTTCACTCCTAAAAGATGGTATACATCCCTGACCAGTGCATGAAATTACTGCCTCTCTTTCTTCCTTAACATTTAAAAGTTCCTCAAAATATTCTCGCCATCTACCTAATACCCCCATCTCCCCATCTACTAACTCCCCTACTCTGTTTTTAACTGACAAATCCATACTTTCCCTAGGCTTTCTTAACTTGTTTAACTCACTCCAAAATTTTTTCCTATTTTCATTAAAATTTCTTGACAGTGCCTCTCCCACTCTATCATCTGCTCTCCTTTTGCACTCTCTCACCACTCTCTTTACCTTTCTTTTACTCTCCATATACTCTGCTCTTCTTATAACACTTCTGCTTTGTAAAAACCTCTCATAAGCTACCTTTTTCTCTTTTATCACACCCTTTACTTCATCATTCCACAAATCACTCCTCTTTCCTCCTGCCCCCACCCTCCTATAACCACAAACTTCTGCCCCACATTCTAATACTGCATTTTTAAAACTATTCCAACCCTCTTCAACCCCCCAACTACTCATCTCTGCACTAGCCCACCTTTCTGCCAATAGTCGCTTATATCTCACCTGAACTTCCTCCTCCCTTAGTTTATACACTTTCACCACCCTCTTACTTGTTGTTGCCACCTTCCTCTTTTCCCATCTACCTCTTACTCTAACTGTAGCTACAACTAAATAATGATCCGATATATCAGTTGCCCCTCTATAAACATGTACATCCTGGAGCCTACACATCAACCTTTTATCCACCAATACATTATCTAATAAACTACTTTCATTACGTGCTACATTATACCTTGTATATTTATTTATCCTCTTTTTCATAAAATATGTATTACTTATTACCAAATCTCTTTCTACACATAGCTCAATTAAAGGCTCCCCATTTACATTTACCCCTGGCACCCCAAATTTACCTACTACTCCCTCTATAAGATTTTTACCCACTTTAGCATTGAAATCCCAAACCACCATTACTCTCACACTTGATTCAAAACTCCCCATGCATTAACTCAACATTTCCCAAAATCTCTGTCTCTCCTCTACACTTCTCTCTTCTCCAGGTGCATACACGCTTATTATAACCCACTTTTCACATCCAATCTTTATTTTACTCCACATAATCCTTGAATTAATACATTTATAGTCCCTCTTTTCCTGCCATAGCTTATCCTTCAACATTATTGCTACTCCTTCTTTAGCTCTAACTCTATTTGAAACCCCTGACCTAATCCCATTTATTCCTCTCCACTGAAACTCTCCCACCCCCTTCAGCTTTGTTTCACTTAAAGCCAGGACATCCAGCTTCTTCTCATTCATAACATCCACAATCATCTCTTTCTTATCATTTGCACAACATCCACGCACATTCAGACTTCCCACTTTGACAATTTTCTTCTTCTTATTCTTTTTAGTAATCTTTACAGGAAAAGGGGTTACTAGCCCATTGTTCCCGGCATTTTAGTTGACTTTTACAACACGCATGGCTTACGGAGGAAAGATTCTTATTCCACTACCCCATGGATATAAAAGGAAAAGTAATAAGACCAAGAACTATTAAGATAAAATCAAAGAAAACTCAGATGAGTGTGTATATATAAACGTGTACATGAATGTGTAGTGTGACCTAAGTGTAAGTAGAATTAGCAAGACATACCTGTAATCTTGCATATTTATGAGACAGACAAAAGACATCAGCAATCCTACCATCGTGTAAAACAATTACAGGCTTTCGTTTTACACTAACTTGGCAGGACGGTAGTACCTCCCTGGGTGGTTGTTGTCTACCAACCTACTACACACACACACATATATATATATATACATGTATATATATTTTTTTTTTCAACAAGTCGGCGGTCTCCCACCGAGGCAGGGTGACCCAAAAAAGAAAGAAAATCCCCAAAAAGAAAATACTTTCATCATTCAACACTTTCACCTCACTCACACATTATCACTGTTTTTGCAGAGGTGCTCAGAATACAACAGCTTAGAAACATATACGTATAAAGATACACAACATATCCCTCCAAACTGCCAATATCCCAAACCCCTCCTTTAAAGTGCAGGCATTGTACTTCCCATTTCCAGGACTCAAGTCCAACTATATGAAAATAACCGGTTTCCCTAAATCTTTCTTTCTTCTTTCAACACACCGGCCGTATCCCACCAAGGCGGGGTGGCCCAAAAGGAAAAACGAAAGTTTCTCCTTTTACATTTAGTAATATATACAGGAGAAGGGGTTAATAGCTCCTTGCTCCCGGCATTTTAGTCGCCTCTTACAACACGCATGGCTTACGGAGGAAGAATTCTGTTCCACTTCCCCATGGAGGTAAGAGGAAATAAACAAGAACAAGAACTAGAAAGAAAATAGAAGAAAACCCAAAGGGGTGTGTATATATATGCTTGTACATGTATGTGTAGTGTGACCTAAGTGTAAGTAGAAGTAGCAAGACATACCTGAAATCTTGCATGTTCATGAGACAGAAAAATGGACACCAGCAATCCTACCATCATGTAAAACAATTACAGGCTTTCGTTTTACACTCACTTGGCAGGACGGTAGTACCTCCCTGGGTGGTTGCTGTCTACCAACCTACTACACACACACACATATATATATATATACATGTATATATATTTTTTTTTTCAACAAGTCGGCGGTCTCCCACCGAGGCAGGGTGACCCAAAAAAGAAAATCCCCAAAAAGAAAATACTTTCATCATTCAACACTTTCACCTCACTCACACATTATCACTGTTTTTGCAGAGGTGCTCAGAATACAACAGCTTAGAAACATATACG